GTTTTCTTTAATCGTTCTCGACGGTCGGCGTTTAGCGCGAGAAACTACTTGGCAATCGGAAATTATATATTTGTAGACGTTTAACCTCTATTGCCTATTATTACCTTGGGTGCGCAATAATATTTCTTAATTAACGACTAAATGCAAAAAATAAAGACTAAAATCTTATTTCTCACTTATCGTTGCGAAATTGATCTCATTTTACGTGCAGACGTGCTGCGTGTAGGTTTAATTATATATATTGGCTAAAACTATATGTAATTTCAGAAAATAAGTTTAAATTCTTTCAATACACAAAAAAATAATAATAAGATGTATTGCGTACAGCAATTCCGTCTAAAAATTACTTTAGTTGATATTTAGTTATACACCTGACCTTTCCAGCAATATATTATTTCTTTTTTCTTTCTAATAGAATTCCAAGTGCGCTTGATTTGAATATCAGAATTTATTCGAGCACAAAACCCCGTATTTGACCTGACTCGGTTCGGCATTATATTCGGCGAATTCGCTCTGTGGTAATTCTCCCAAACGCGGGCAACTGTTTCGCACTGCTTTGTGAATCGTAGAATGATTAAAATTGCGTAAAGCGAAAGCGAGAAAGAGACGGAAGGGGAAGAGGGAGAAAGAAAGCGTTTACCGCGGGAAGAAATATCACGAAACATCACGCTCGTTGAGATAATAAAAGCGGGTCGCGCGTTATAATCGCGTCGCAGCTATTTTAACAACGTTACTTTTAACAGTCTAATAAGGTGACGGCTGAGTTAGCGCCTGAGCACAAAGATCGTCGGAAACGGTTACGACAATCTTTGTGCTCCGGCCCTTATACACTGAGTATGCATCTCGCGCTCGGGATTGCTCGTCGCGATTAAACGCGCAGAGAAGGGAGAAACCGATAGCCTTCCGAAGGTGTTTTACGAAATGGCACCCAGGGTCCAGGGATGCAAATTACTCGGAGGAAAACTTCATTAGGAAGTTCGCGACGGTGCCACGCCTAAGGTACAATCGCGTTGTGTCCGCGAGTGAAACTTTAGCACATTCACTCCCTCGGCGCGGTGGACCGTCGATCGCGATATTGCCCGGCGCGTTTAATTCGATCTCGACGACCGCCTCTCGCGCGGCGCGAACGCACGATGAATTATTGATACCGATCGCGTAATAAATTCGCGATCGATGCCCGCACTCGTATCGCGGATGATTATGCGCGCGATTCGATGACAAATGCATGCGCGATTGGTATAAGCGCGCCCGCAATAATGCAGCGAAGCGGGGTTTTCGAGCGAGACGTCCGCGTCGGAAAACAACGGCCTCGGACCTCGACGACACGTTCGTACTATGCCAATTACGAACGCACGCGCTTATTAATCATCGGTCATTATAGACGCCGCGATTGTGTTTCGCAATTATCGGAAAGATGAATATATCGTAACGCGGCGTTTCCGCGCAAATGGGAAAAGGGAATTTCAACGAGGCAAATTATATCTAAACAACCGCGCGATCGCCAAAACGGTCCGAACAAAGGCGGCAAATAGCGATCGGGAAGGCAGGTCGAGCGGAAATTCTTGATCGCGGGGCCACCGATTGAATCCCATTCGGAATTCGAGCGACGAGCGACGTAATCGGCGCTGATCTATCTCGAGTTCCCAGCCGGGGACGCGTCGCGGACGGCTCCAGCAGTCGCCGCCGGCCGGCCGGCCCGGATTTCAAGCCCGATTCGAGATGCGGACGAGAGAGTGCAGGTGCGAACGAGAGACCAGGATTGCGGACCGCCCGGGCGGAAGACTGATTGGCCGACCCAGATGCATACCGTTATCATAAATCTGCCCGAAATCCCTCGGAACCGCGCGCGGATATACATTGCCGCCCGCGCTTCCCCACACGCCCGCCGCCGCCTGCGGGGTCGTCTGAAGTCCGTGCGTTCTTCATACTGTATTTTCGCGGCGGGCCGAAGAGAAATCGCGCGCGGTTCGCGGGATAAATTAACGCGCGGCCGTCGCGTTGTTGCGAGTTGCGAGCCGGCACGCACAGCTCGCGTTTTAAACGCGAAATGTAATCAGCCTTTACCGGAATAAATATAGGTCGACTTTTTCGCCTTACGCATTCCGACGAGTATAAATTTAAAAAAAAAAAGGGGGAACTTGATGTATCGTCGAGCGTGTAGCGCCGCATAATGAATTCGGCTCTGAGCGTTTGAGGCCGGCGAGTTGGGGACCACCCCACATCGTGTGTCACTTAAAAAATTACCCCGCTAAAGATCGATAAGAGCTTAAGGCTGACGTGATGATAAAATAAATTGATTGTGATTATCGCATATCTAATAGCGCTAAAAAAAATTGAAATTTAGTCAAAATATCAATAAAAGATAGGGAGACCGTATATGGCACGTTTAATTGGAAGTCGGATATACAATAAATTTGCATGTATTCGGGCGTGAATAATCCTAGCTAGCCACATTTATTTCCGAGTCCTTAATTCGCCACACTCCGGTCCGTGAGCGACCGCTCGACTTTGTCGCACTGTCATTTTCATTCTAGTTAATATTTTTATAAGCTTGTAATTTAGCAATCGGAAATTCAAAGTCTAAATAAGATATTTGTGACAATATCAGACCAAGAAAACGATTTAAGTTTAAACCGAACTTATTAAGGAAACTAGAAAATTATATTATGTGAAAATTAGAAAACCGAAAAACATTCAGCAGTCCACTGGACCGGAATATGGCGAGCGAATATAGGCGATTTCTAAAATTGTATTTCGTTCTCGATTACTTGGATATTAAATGAAATCACGTTCCCATGGCGCGACGGTTAATGAAACTTTGAAATGACTTGAACCAAACGTTTACCAGCGGCGTCTTGAACCACCCGACAGGTATCCGAGCACCTGACGTGTCTCTTGACACGTGACGGACGCCGCTTGTTGGGACGTCTTTAAATTCCGAATTTAACCGCCTAATTTAAAATTCTAGCGCAATTTGCCGACTAATCATCTGAGGCGATGCGCCCCGTAAGTTTGATCAAATCTCCATTTCGCGAGAGATATCAAATATCTTTGATGATAAACGAGCCATTTCGAAACAATGAAAAATCAAACACTTCGACAATACAAATACTTTAGATCAAATTGTTTGCACGTTCTCAGAGACGTTTTAAATTTTTTTTTTTTTTTGACGATTCCAGCGACAGAGTATAAGAGTTTCTATAAATTTTTATATCACAAAATGGATTTTTTTTCGCGATGTAGTACACGTGTAAAAAAAGAGATAATCGAATAAATACACACGGAATTGAGTCCGCGCTTATACCATTGATAAATGGAATAAAATCATTGGAATTCCGGATACATTCACCGACGCGCTTTTGTTCGCGAAACATTCACGATTTGCGAATTTAATTGTCACACATTTTTCACAGTGCAGAGCATGAGTAACGATTGTAAAATGAAAGAGCCATTCTCCCTTTCTGCCGCGCGTATTTCGGCGCATATTACCTGTGAAAAATTCATCATACGCGATGAATGAGCGTAATCGATCAGCAAACGTTCGTACATCAAAGTTCGTTGATCAATGAGAATCAATAATCACCTGCCGCGTGATTGGCAACAATCGCGCATTCCCGATAATCAGCCGCGTTTTAGCACCGCATGAACACCACAAATACTCTTAAATTAACGCCTCCGAAATTAATGCCGGAACGTGGTTTAATCATAACGTCAAAGTGAAATAAACCCGAATTAAAAAAAAAAAGTAAACCGGACTCATCGTTTCTCACATAAGCAATGGAGCTTAACTGAGAAACAGCTGTCACCGTGCTTAATTGATTCGCGGGAATATAAGTAGTTCTGAAGCGCCTGTGTGTGTGTATGTAAATTGCTCTTGGAACTTTATTTTAAGACGCGTAATTCATTAGAGGAAAAAAAATCAAGGATAATTTCGAAAACACAGGCGAGGTATTTGTGGCGTACCTATCTCTCCAGAAAAATGCATTTCCTCTCATGAAGATATCGAAATATTTTTATTTCGATTTAAAAACTCGAAACGTCAACAGCCGAAAACGGTGATGTTATTAAATAACGGATCGCGAGTTGATTACCGAGTGATTCGTCGTTTCTGTAAATAGAGCGGGGTCATTCGTATCTTCTGGCAAATCTTTTTAGAATAATTTAGAATAATTTTGTTATATATCAAAATACCATGAATGTATACGTCTGTTATACGATTGTTAATCATTCGTAATAAGCTTTTTAAATTTGTATAATTTATCAAAACGTGTTAAAAGGTGCTCACGAATAGAATTCACATTTATGTGAATTTTATTCGCGACGAGCAGACAAAGATGACGAGAAAGCAATATGTTAAATTGAAATTGCATATAGTAATAATTGTGCATATATTATACGTCTGATTTATCGTGTACGTGCAATTCGATACAGGCGAGAAGCAGAAACGAGGCTGATGAAATGAGCGAGACGTTTTTCAGCGTGATTTTTGTGTACCAAAGGTATTTTCTATTGCATCGTCTTTACTGTTCGTTATTATTAAGATTATTAATAATTATTAACTTTACGGTGTAACGATACCAAATTAAGACCGGCGTACGATAAACGGGATACGACGTTGTCCGCATCGCAGCGCGTTTATCTGCACTCACTCATAGGATACTCATAGGATCTACTGACATTAAGGATAAGAACGATAATGTACGGTACATTACGGTGGATTTCGAATTAATTCTTAAAGAATTAAACGATAAACTCTTGCAACTTAATGAATTTCTCAGTATATGTCTGCAATCATGTATTATAGAAAAGAAAATGATTCGATTCAATAAAAACTTACGAAAATACTCGTGTGCGAATTATTTACCTCTGACGAAAGCAATTTCTTGCTTGAAAAAAGGGATGATTAAATTATTTGACGTAGTTTGCACGATAAACCAAAATGGACACGAAGTGCATAGAAAAGAACATAAAAATATAAATGTTGTTTCACAACGCTACGATGAAAAGTATAATTGCACTTTATTATAAATCGTTTCAAGGTCCCCTTAATCATTGCTGCATTGTTTCATTTCCTAATTCTAAAATAAACGCATTTATGAATAATTATTTGTCGGACTAGCGTATCGTCATAAAAATTTGGAAAGTTCATACATGAAAATCTAATTGTTTATGTTAACTTTAATCATCCTGAGCTTTTATATTAGCAATCCCTCCTTCACAAAGTTGCCCTAAACTTAAGCAATATAGTAATAACATGCTCGTATGGATATATTCTTATTTATACATATATGTATATATATATCTCTCTTCTATATATATATATTTGTTAATATAGAGAACCTTACTTTTTATACGTATAACAGGCTCTTAATTCGAAGCTGCAAAGGGACTCGATATATAACACCTAATCCACTTTTATAATACAAATGTGCATTATTTTCCCATAACACACGTATTTTACCCAAACTCTTATAAAAACCACAGTTTCTTACTATCTATTAAGCAAAACCAATATAGTAGCGCTTACATAGCTTTTTACAGCTCAATAATAGTAAATATCAGTTTTCTCGAAGTCGCTTTGCAGCTATTAATACAATACTTTATTTTTAAAGCATGATAGATCTAGTAAATTTAGATAACAAAAAATATATAGTATTTTACAGTACCATTACATTACATTATTAGTCTTAAATAAACTGTTATCTGCATACAGGATGTATGCACGTAGATTTGTCCATGGCAACGCTAAAGCTAGATCACTCTTCCCGAAGTACAGATAAACATTTCTTGAGCAATTCCGCGTGCGACTGTGAACATAATGTAAATACATTCTTGATATGCTGCAAAGTTTAAACATAACTACTTATAAAAAAAAACAGCGTTATACTCACTTTAGCATGTTTTATTTCGAGCTCTGTTAGTTCAATGAGATTCTTCTTAAATGCAGCTACTCGTCTAGTTTTGAAATCCAACAATTCTAAAAACAAAGTCGTTACAAATATTGGTAAGAATGTCTTAAATACTCTAAAAATAATCAATACCATTCTGTAAATTATATGGCAAAAGTTATATATCTCTAAGTATAATAGAAAATGTTATTAATCTTCTTTTATTCTATTTCTTTATTACAAAATGATATTGAATACGATTTCTAAACAAATGACACACAGATATACCTATTTTTACTTACCTTCTTTTCCTTTATCAGACATCTGTTCAAATTTCTCACATGCTTCGGTCTGTGCTTGTTCCGCCTTGATTAATAAAAATATAAATTTAAAATATTACAATGTTGCACACATTTTTATCTAAAACTTTCGATGCAATTATGCAACGTAATATTTATATATTCATCAGCAAAACTTATATCATTTCTACCACAAAAGTCATTATCAGATCATAAATCATCTAAATTATCTAAATTATCAAGACAATATTCAATACTACATGCAACCGTCTCATTCATGCATAATACTTCTGATAACTTCCGTGCTGCAGCAACTAAGTTGTGCCAATCTCCTTGTTTAAAAAAAAACGCAATATCTCCATGTATATATTTTACATATAAATTATGTAAACATCTCTATGTATAGAAAAAAGTAGAAATCTCACAATAAAACATTTTTTTATATAGAAATCATAAAATTATCTTTTTAATATTAAACAAATTTGTAAGATATCATAGAATTCATATTCTAAATGTAAATTTCTAAAATATTTTTCTTTACCTATGTGTATAATAGAAACTAAATGATTTTAATATAAATTCATTTTCAAATGGGCAATCTATCCATTTAATGAAAAAGTTGGCAATAAGATCTAATACTTTTAAGCACTATAACGGAAAATATATGTAGGACACAAACGATATATGACACACCTCAGCAACCTCCAGTGCCTTGAAAAGCAAGAAAAATTAAAGTTCTGATTAGATGCTACTCTCGTGACCATAAACCATTTATAGTATCTAATAACTGCAGTTTCAGTTTAGCCGCCATGAGATTAATTTTACATAAATATTCATTGTATCTATTTCCCTCGTCCTACATTTCTGTATGCTATTTCATGATAAATTAGCTGAGGATATTATTATGTAACATGAATATAAATTTACGAATTGTAGAAAAATGCGCACTTACTGCATGAACATCTTTGTTTTTGGCACGAGCTTTTTCAAGAGCACGATTCGCAGACTCGTACTCGTGTAAAGCTTTTAATCTTCTGAAAAGGAGCCTCTTAGCCGCAGCTGTATCTCTCATATAATAACGAAGGGTATCTGATAATTTTAAATCTTCATCTGACGCTACCCGTCCTTCAACTTTCTATAAAAAAAGAAAGTATTTTTTTAATAGATTTAATTATTAAAAATAAAAATTCTGAAAAAGTATCCGATAAAGTATTCTTACTCGTAACTTCTCGAAGGTTTCGGCGATTTTAGTTAAAAATCTCTCGAGTTTTCCATTATCCGTTGTAGCTAATTGTAAAAGATTAGTGGAAATCTTTATATATGAATCTGCTACGTCTTTATGTTTAGCTGTTTGACGATCGGCCAACCTCGTTGCTTCTTTTAAATTATGATGATAAGTTTGAAGGAATGTCATTTCTTGATCGAAGAAGTCGTTTACATCTTTTACCGTAGCCGATAAGTAATATTCATCGGTAGTTTTCGAGAACGATTTCACCAAACCACCAAACATTTCCATCTTATTCTTTCCTGCAAGAATAAACAATACGTATGTTCTGTATTTATTTTAATTTCTATATATCTTGATATTGTGCAGACTACAAAAGCATTACCTCGCACACAAAGATCTTGATCGTATTCTAAAAATACCCTCAGATTATGATCATTCCGAAAAACTGGATGATGCGCCAGCCTAGTCAAGAACATTTCGTGCATAGCAACAGTTTTTTTGAATGTGGCTAAGTATTCTCTGCAAAATCACGAAAAAAAACATAACAAAATTAGATTTTATTAGATCCTATATATGTTAAAATGTATAATAAATGGTACTTATTCATTATACAGGTGCCAATTTCAACTTTCTTCTACTTGAAAATACAGCAATTATTCTTAACATAAAATGATTCCACGTGGGTTTCCAACTTTCCGCGCGAACCGTACAATAATAGATTTGTTTTTGTACTCTAAGCACTGGGCGATTTAGGAATCTCACTTTATATGGAAAATTGGAAACTCATGTGAAATCATTTTAATATAATGAACTGTACTTATACGAAATAAAACTAGAATCATGATCTCAACATATGTTTAGGTCAAGGCCGTTAGAACTGATTCCAATTGGAAGTGGCGTCTGTATAATTATAAGTACCTAATTTACATACAAAAAAAAACACTCACGCTTCTAATTCTTGCTTCATCTTATTAAATTCTTCGCGTGTCATGTTTCCCTCACCTTCGCCGAGTTTTTGTAACTTTTCGCGAGATGCGTCAAAGTCTGGCCTTGGTGGACATGGTGGAATCTATTATAATAATATCGACATTTACATTTAAAATAAAACATGAGTTAATCGTTTGAGTGTCAAAAAGCAAAATCGATACTTTTCAATTTTAAAAAATACCATAAAACACAATGGCGATTTCTTCATTTCACGTTAGAAACGTGTCGACAAGTGCCTCCTTCTTGTATAATTATTCAATATTATTACTTAATGTTTCAGGATAGCTTGATTTAATAATGGCTAATAGAATCTTGACAATTAGGACAGAAACAAAGTGCGTCAATAATAAATCTATCGTCAGCATATGCTTAGTACTCTATTCGCATAGATTTCTGCAATTATCTTCACACTCAAACAGGAAAATATCCACCAGAACAATAACGTCAGAATGTCATAAAGATTCCACACGTACGATGTAACCAGCGTACTCCTCATTTTCCTCGAATCGATCGTGGAGCCACACAAACTCTTCGTGCTGCCTGACAACCAGATTGTCCGGCTTTTGGAATTCAGGTAGGGTGGTTTTCGTATGTACAGTGAACTTGACCTTGTCCTTCTCGCTGAGAGCGTCCGAGATGTCCACCTGCAAGGACTTATCCGAGAGGTCTATGGTATCGGCGTGAATTGTCTGAAAGAGCAGTTCCGTTAGCAGATACGGCAACGCAGTTGTCATCGAGAATGCGACAACAAAGGGGAGGGGAGGGGCGTACAGAACAATAGCGATAATGCGCGTGTTATCAAGCGGACGACAGAAGAAGAAAAAGAGAAGAGATTCCAAGGAATACGACGGAGAGATAGAGAAGCGCTATAAATACCTTCTTGGGAGGCACGCTATTTAATATGTCGGTGGTGTCACATATTCCGTCCTGCAACATTTTTCGCATATTAGAGAAGTGCGTTCGAAGGGGGAGAACGGAACTTTCCGGGCGATTTGCGCCGATCGAACGCGTCAAACGAGCGGACCGCCGGATCGGCCGGATTGATAACAGGTTCCACCTACCATCATGGCGTCGACTGGCGTCGTCCCCTTGACACACAGTGGTTAACAGCAACTCGATTAACAAGATCGTCTCGCTAAATAACGTATGTACAACTGTCGCGCGGCGAGCGAGCCGACTCGGACTGGCTCAAAATCCTAAAATACAATCTTCGACGCGCTAGCTCGGAAGAGAGTGGACGCGGTCTTCCGCGATATTGACGAGACCGTCGAAACGAGCGCCCCTAGTGGACATAAAAATGAGTTATCATCAATGTGGCGCGTCTTCCGCTAAATTTGAATGATATTTCGTCCGGTGCTGAATAACTTTATACAGAAATACTATTGACACGGCATGGTTATTATATTTGTGAAATAAAATGTGTTTTTTATAACGATTGTGAAGCTACAAAAATTATTATAAAGAAAAAACCAAATATATGGCACTTCAAAGTATATAATAACGTTAAAGGCCGGTATTCATAATCAGATCTTATTTCAAGATCGTTTATTGATAAAAAAAACTGCAGATATTGGGTGCGTTCAGCCGATACTCCGCTAGCCTAGCAATCGTGAGCAGTCGCTCGCTTTCGCTCGTTTCCTCTCCTTTGACCCAATGGATTAAAAGGAGAGGAAAC